TTCACTTTTGCATCCTTTCACGCAACAAGTGAGAACCATTTTTAATTATTTGGACACGATAAAACATGAAACTTTAAAGTAAATACTGGGCAAACACAATTCACTACTCGTTCGGTTCACACTTCACACAAAGTATACGCCATATTGAAGATTGTAAGACACTTAGTGTTGCTCAGTTTTTGTAGTAGTAAAACATGGTTGGAAATTACGCATAAATATAAATATTTTCTTATGAAGTCTTCTCTTTAATTTCATTTAATAATTATTTAGAATTATTACAAGAACAGAAATTAAAAATATCATTAATTTCTACTACGTGAAAAAATATTTCACTGTTGCAACTCGATAGACAAGGACGCATTCCTTAATAGAGGCATCTCGCTCAGCTCGTTTTTCCTTTTAGTCTAATATTATATGAAAATAGACTTTACTTCAATAGCGTAGAATACATTTTACGTTTGCCACTTCTTCAGAGTGCACAATCTTGTTTTATATACATACATTCAAACTTAATGGCGGCTCGGAACATCGTACGTTCCGATGCGCAGAACACAATTTTTGGGTATCAGCGGGATGTAGAGGGACGTGGTGGCGGGGCACATCCCCGCACATTCTGTCTCATACGCACTCACGCGACGCGTTTGCTTTTAGTGTTTGAGTTACGTTCACTCCTGCTTACGTACAGTTGAGCCCATAATTTGTTACTGTTTGTTAATTGTTTTGTTACGTTTTTTTGTTTGTTTTTGTTCCGTTAAGTTTTTATTGTTATTGACTGTTTTGTTTTCATCTGTGTGTTACACACATTAAGTTTTAGACTGTTGTTGGTTGTGGGAAAGTACAAGGTGGCCCATAAGTCGTTAGAAATGTAAATTTCGAATAAAATACAAAAGGCGCGCATGAGTGGCGCGCGCGGTGCGGGGGGAGTACCGACGGTTTCTGGGAATTCTGTCGCCATGGAGCGTTTCACCGGTGCGGACCATGCATTTTGTGTGCGCGAGTTTTATCGAAACAATGATTCGGCTACCATTGCGCGGCGTAAATTTCGAGAATATCAGAATTTACGCAACTTTAAAGACATTCCAAGTGTTCCAACGATTAAGAACTGGGTTATTAAGTTCGAAGAGAGTGGTTCGACGTTGGATAAACAACGGTCAGGTCGACCAAGGACATCACGGACGGAAGAAAACATCGATGTAGTGAAACACTCAATTCGTGAAAATCCTACCCAGTCTACTCGTAAGCGTTCCAGTGCATTAAACTTACCCAGAACATCGTTACAGCGAATTTTAAAGAAAGATTTACATCTTCACCCGTACAAGATTCAGTTAGTACAGGAATTAAAAGATACTGACAATATCCACAGACTAAATTTCGCAAATGAAATGTTGAACCGCTTTACTTCGTTTAATAACTTTAAATTAAACGAAGTAATTTACGAATTAATTAACGAATTAAATTATTCTCTGATGAGGCTCACTTTCACATCAACGGCCATGTCAATAAGCAAAATTGTCGCTACTGGAGTTGCGAAAATCCAAATCGCAAACATCAAAAGCCCTTACATAGCCCTAAAGTGACAGTTTGGGCGGCTATGTCAGCGCATGGCATTATAGGCCCTTACTTTTTTGAGGACGGCAGAGGCCGCGCGCTTACTGTTACTTCACAACGGTATGTAGCTATGATCCAGGACTTTTTTACACCAGAGTTGCAGAATTTTCCAGGCTTCAATACGCGGACCTGGTTTCAACAAGATGGAGCAACTGCCCATACCTCTAACGTCGCTATGCCGGTCGTATGTCAACTTTTCCTTAATAAAGTGATCTCTCGAAGAGGAGATATTCCTTGGCCACCACGTAGTCCAGATCTGACCCCAATGGACTTTTTCTTATGGGGTTATCTTAAGACTAAAGTGTACGAAACCAACCCGCAGACAATTGACGTCCTGAAAGAAAATATCCAAAGAGAAATGGCAAACATTACAGAGCTTACTTGCCACGCAGTGATGGATAATTTTAAACGTCGCTTACAGGAGTGCCGCGATCGTAACGGATTACATTTAGATGATGTAATTTTCAAAAAATAATTCCCATTTTATAAGGATTATGACAAAATAAAAACCTTTTTCATAATGTTATTAGTTTTTTTTTAATTATTTTTTTACATTTCAAGGGACTTATGGGCCACCTTGTACTTTTATTATTTTGTTTAAATATGCCACGCGGACGATACAACGTTTTACGCAGGCAAGCCAGAAAAAAGGTGTATAATGTCGTGCAATTTATGAAAAAGGAGAGTGAAGACGGCGTCCAAATTCCTCTGAAGCTCGTTCAAAAACGAGCCGCAGCAGCTACAGGCGTCTCACTAAGGACTGTACAAAGAATAGCTGCAACAGCAAATGAGTCGGAGATGCTAGCCGTCTTTCGTACTCCTGGCAAAAAAAGGAAGGGAGTCAAGAGAGTGACGAATATTGACAGCTTCGACCAAGGTGTCATCAAAAGGTGCGTGCACAACTTTCACGTGACTGAAAAAGAGTTGCCAACACTTAAACAATTACAAAGAAAATTAAAAGACGACATAAATTTCAACGGTTCTGTAACCAGCTTAGGCCGAATATTGAAACAATTAGGGTTTCAATGGAAGAACACCCAAAATGAGAGAAAAGTATTAATAGAGCAGTCTAATATTCGTTTACAGCGCATTGAATATCTGCATAGTATTACAAAATATCGCTCGGAAGGCAGACCCATTATATATACCGACGAGTCTTATGTCGATTCTTCCCACAGCATGTCAAAGGCTTGGGGAGATGGGTCACAAATGTGAGTTAAAAAGAAAATTTCGAAGGGTCAAAGAGTTGTAATAGTGCACGCGGGTTCTGAAGTCGGTTTTGTAACCAACGCACTTTTAATGTTTAAGGCGGGTACAAAAACCGGCGACTATCATGATAACATGAATTATGAAAATTATGAAAAATGAATCAAGAATCAACTCGTTCCAAATTTGCCAGCAAATTCAGTCGTTGTTGTAGATAATGCTTCTTATCACAACAAACAAGAAGATCCTGCACCTACCTCAAACTCAAGAAAAGCAGACATGCAATCATGGCTTCGTGAAAAAAATATTGAATTTGAGGAAACAATGCTGAAGCCACAACTATACAAGTTAATTGCGAAGAATAAAGAACGCTTCAAAAAATTTAACATCGATAAAATATTGAAAGAGAATAACCACTTAGTTTTATGCCTCCTCCCTTACCACCCCGATTTAAACCCCATCGAGATGGCATGGGCAGCAATAAAACAATACGTCGCAAAAAAAAACGTTAACAGGAACGTAAATTCAGTCATGGAATTGGTCCAGCAAAAAGTTAACGAAATGGGGGAAAATGAATGGAATTTTGTGCCGAAAAGTGATCAAGATAGAGGAAGAGTACAAAAAAAGTGACGTTGTCGTTGATAGATTGACGGACGAATTTATAATCCATGTCAGCGACGATGAATCAGATACCGAGTCTAAGGAGGAATCAGATTCCAGCGAAGACGAAGGAAGTGATGTTTCCATGGAAGCTCCTTCCACAAGCAAAGACGTTTTTATGGAAGGGATACAGCCCTTAACTTAAAATGAAAATAAAAACTTTATATATTATTTATAAAATCTGTTTTATTTTTAACCGACTTCAAAAAAGGATGAGGTTTTTAATTCATCTGTATTTTTCTTCCTTGAACCCTCCTCATACTTGCTAACTGACATTTATGTACATATGTACAGAACTTAAAACACAAAACTTTCAGTTATTAAAATAATTAAATTGAGCCTAAATTTTTGTCAACTTGACTGTACCTGCGCGCACCTGCACTCGCAGCTAACTTCCGAACCGCCATTAAGTTTGAATCGAGCTGTACGAAGTATATTATAATATCTTTGATATAAGCAGAGATTTTTTTTTGTTTTCTTCACCCATTCTGGGTAGGCAAAGGGAACTATACCCATACAGCCAAGTCTTCAGTAGAATTTTTTTATTGATATGAAATGAAAATGAAATGAAACCTAACCTAACTCATTGAATCAAATCATTAAATCTGAGATTGAAACAAATTAGTAGCTTCTTTTTAAAAATATTTGCATGAATCATAAAAACTTCTATGAATTTCTTTTAGTAAAAACTTCGTGCTTGGTTTTTTCTTTTTAATATTTTGACAGTTGGCAAAGAGAACGCACGAGTTAGGAAAAGGTAAAGAAAAAGCTCGAGTATGTAATAGCCCACATCCCGAACGCTATACGTCCCTGCAATACGCCACTTTTTGAGCAAATGTATTAAAATAGTTCTTTTTTATATAAACTGGAAACGTTGTTTTATACAATATCATATTGATTTTGTTTAATCTGACTAAGAAAACGCCGTCATTATTCATGTGCGCTCTTTGCTAACGTGATTTGAAGCTTATTTTACATAACTATGTAACTTTATTTCGTATTTGCCTAAATAAATTAAAATAAAAAGTAAATTAAACTACGACTGTGTGGCATATTTGCCATGCCAGGTGCCCGCTCATGACACAGTTTTTATTCTGAATTGCCGGTCTAGTGTATACATAGAAGTCTGCTCGTAAATGTGTAGTGGTAGTGTAAAAATATCCACTACTCCATATCGTCTGGTGGGTGTCGTAAGAGGCTACAGAGCGAAACTGAATCAGAAGAACGGCAGCGTCGTCGTAAAAAAGGAGCTTAATGCTGCTGCTTCGTATGGTGAGTTTAGAGCACCAGAGACGCTTTTTACGGGAAACGAGGCATTACCATCTGTCCTCAGGGGTGACAACGCATCCGCATTTTGATTCTTAATTAAGGATAAATGTAGATGTTTCGTGTGCTTGTTTGTCATCCTTATTCCTTAAAAAAAATCTATGTGAGGGGCCTATAGCAAAACTTTATAGATTATAATGAATGAATGGAATGGTAGTTGTAGTTGGAGTCGGAGTTGAGTAATAGTTTGTTTGGAACAGGATAGCGGTGCGGCGGGTGTGGGTGTGGGGGAGGGCGCGGAGGCGGGGGCGGGGCTGGGCGCGGCGTCGCCGGCGGTGACGCTGGGCTACCTGGCGCGCGCCGTCGTCAACAGCGTGCTGCAGGCCGCCGCCGCGCCGCACCTGCAGCCCGCCGCGCACGACTCCTGCCTCGTCGCCTGACGCGCCGCTCTACCTACACCACGTACATCGCGGCGCCACCACACTAAATATATTATACCTAAAACACTGTCTCAACCATCTCTGTTATTAGATACAATTACTTACGCTTCTTAAAAGCGTTAGAGTTATTACTTATTAAACGTATCCCACACACAAACGGCTTGCGGTACAGCGGCTCCACCCACTGCAAAAATACACCAACGCGATCGCAGTGGCGGCCTGTAACTCCATTCGCCATTCGCTGTGTGTAATACGATCGGACGTCAGTCAACATGACTATCCGTGACAAAATCTTATTAATTGTATTATATTCAGCAATAGTATCCCATATTTTGTATTTAATCCTAATGCTTTTGAAATCACAATGTGAAGTATCATGTACTGTATAATTTTACACTGTTTCTATTAAAATCTCTGTATTTAGTGTCATTTTTCACGCGGTATACGCGACCTGTTGTAAAAATTAACAAGTGACCACGCTGCGCCCACCGATAGGCCGCACACTCGCTACATACACGCAGTGGCGGAAGGGGCGGGGTACGCGGCCACGCCCGCACATGACCCGCACGTGTTTGCATTCACTTACATTGCGAGCGGATACAATACACGCCGCAGCTGTCACCGCAAGCCGCTTGTGTGTGGGAAACGCTTTAATTTTCGTAAAATTTATACAGGTTTATTATACGAGGTTTATATTGAAAGCCTCGCGATTAATGCTACAGACCACGGTCTTCACGAAATTTAGCATTTACTAAAATTTGCTATCAGTATCCTGTCCCATTATTGTGCCATTGTACGTCTAGTACTGTTATTTATTCTGTGCCCAATGTTTAAAAGTTATATTTCAAAATTATAAATGTAAGTAAATTCATGTATAAAAAAATGTGTATATAAAAAATGGATTTTATTAATTGTAATTTATGTCATTAGTGTTAGGTTTGTATATTAAATATTTTTTGTAATTTTTGTTTCATTATAAATAATTCTACAGTGAAATTGCTAAAAAATACATTACATTTTTAAGGCCTCATAAAAAAAGAGCCATAATTGAACTGTAAAAAAGTGAATAATTATCTTCTTTCAAGATAGTGTCCAACAGAGTCCATCTGTTAAAATTGTTTCAGATTATAACTTTATTAATTAATTTTTAAAATGAAGTAAATCAAACAGAAGTGAGAAATTATCTAATGTACCTCAGACACGGATCCAGTGAATCAGAATTTAATTGGCAGTTAAACAAATAAACTGAATTAAATTTTTCATGTGTTAATTTTAATATGAGATCATTTGTATCTCAAATCTAAAAAAAGATTATCTAACATTAAAAAATCTTGACATTTCTGCTGCTATTTATTTTTAAAACCATTTTTGGTTTTAATGATTAATAGTTTTCACGAATTCTCTATACACAACACAGGTAGGTGTTTCAAGGCCTAGAGCTCAACCTGTAGTGTTGTTGATCACCCATTTATCCTTCATTAATTCCAGCCTATCAAAGTCCACTGCTGTATATAGGCTTCCCTCCTTCCCCGTCCTTTCTTATCCAGTGTGTATTTAGGCACTCCGCTATGGAACACTGTATCATACTGTAGTAGTCGTTCACTAACCAAGAGGCTCCTTTTTACTCTATGCTCATATACATAGGTAATCCTTTAAATAGTTTAAGAATATACTACTACCTCTGATGCCTATATTTTATAGTTTTTGTAACGGGGTTGACGGGGGCGTTCACCATTTACCTTTAATATCTATTAATTTTATTACACTATGTTCAGGCTTTAGGTTTCAGTACCTGTTATAATTTTTTGTACGATTCTGAATTTTTTGCATCACTAATAGGTACGTATAGAGACGGCAAAAAAAATATCAAACGCTATACAAGTCAAACAATTCAAGACTTAATGTGAATTTAATTTTTTTTTCTTATAATTAAGAAGGTCCCTTGCTAATAACCTTAACCTGTGACATATAAGTTCTGAACTAAACGCAACACAAAGGATTAATTACATAGCGCGTGGCGATAAGGTGCAATTTAGAATGCAGGCAATTTTTATCTAGTTTAAGATCAAACGAAATCATATTTATTCATTTATTTCGTGCTGCAAGTTTCTGGTGTGTGGCCATTTTAAACGGCAGCGGTCGCGCATAACAATAGCCATTGGAGAAAACATCAAAACTAAATACATTTAAAAAAATATATTTTTTTTACATATATTCCGGTTAGGAAACTGTTATTATTAGTGATAAAAATACTAACACGTAATAAATTGCTAAATTAAAAAAGACGTTTTAAACGCGGTAGAGCCACGCAGCAGCTATATTATGGTTGTAGCACGAATCGGTCTGCTTGACCGGGGTAGTACCACGTTGTCACAGAATACCAGCGTAAAATATGCGTGGTATGGTGAGGGTAGAGAACTGTAGACCCTTCTTAGTGGAAACGAGGCAATTCTATCCTAGTCCTCAGGGGTGACAACAAATCTGTATTTTGATTCTTAATTGAGGATAAATGTTAATCTCTATGGGCCACAGCATCCACTTACCATCAGGTGAACTGTGTGCTTGTTTGTTACCCTCCTTGAATGAGCCTCATCCATCCGATGAAGTCACAACTTGGCAACATAAATCTTACTGTAAACATAATATTAATATAAAATTGAAACGCTTGTCTCACTTTTCTACCGAGTTCAAAAAGGAGGAGGTACTCAATTCGACTGTATGTTCTTCTTTTTATTTTTTTTTAATGTGTGTTACCTCATAACTTTTCTGGGTGAACCGATTTCGATGATTCTTCTTTTATTTGAAAGCTGGGGCTTGATTAAGGTCTGACCAATAGTTTTTGAGTTATTATTAATAATGTATATTGAAGTCGGTTGTAAAAAAAATAATTTTAATTTATAGGATAAATAAATTTTATTTTGCATGCTCTGGATCTTGATGCATTATTTCTGTTTTCATGTCTTAAAATTTTAAAGTGGTCTCATATATTTCTTTTGATCTTTCTTGAAAAATTGACTATTGTAGCTCTTCTCTGCATGTACTCACATCTACGTAGGTACGTACATAAGGCCATATCCTCATACATGTCGGCTTTTTTTATAGAAGAGAGGGCAAACGAACTTGCGGCTCACCTCATGGTAGGTGTCGACCGCCGCTCATGAACAACTGCAACACCAGTGGAATTGCAAGTGCGTTGCCGGCCTTTTAAAAAGAAGTAAGCTCGTTTTTTTAATGTCAAGTATCGGCCTATAAGCCTTTTTTTTTTTCTAAAATTCACAAAAAAATATTTGTTGTTTGTAACACTGTTGAAAATATAACAAAAAAATATTTCGCAAAGAGGGTCGCGCGCAGTGATGGCGTTAGACGAAACGTGGGCGTCGGCTAATGAACAAAATTATACGCTAATGTATGAGTATACGCTAATCAAATGTCGACAAAATACAAATTTAAATATAAATTACAGCTTTTAGCCCCACTGAATTTTCTCAAGATTATGTTAGCTAACGCCAGCCGCTACTTTAGCTACAATTGAAAGAACTGATAACGCTACTGCGTTCTCTTTGGTTCATCGTGCTTCACAAGTACGTCCTAATCAATTTTAAGTTTAAAAAGCTTCTCTCAGCATAAGCTATACTTTTGCGATATTCTAGTTCACTTGAACTGATTGCTTATATTGTTAACACGTGTATTGCAACAATAAACATCTTGTTCAGAACATTTTGTTCAGAACTGCGTCTCCTAAGAGTTTCGGAATCATCAGTTTTATTATTTTTAGCTTTTCGGGCATAAGAGTTGTTTTTTTTCTTTTGAGGTACAAAAGGAAAAAAACAAGAGACAAGTTCCTGAGAAAAAGGATCTTTCTGTCAAGATCCTTTTTCTCAGGAACGCGCCCTTATAAAATAATAAGAAATCTATTATAATTTTGTACTTTCAAATTGCGTTATCTTCTTCTTCTATATAAATAAAATGATAAAGGTTTGCAGTTGTGCACGCATCACGGAATATCTACTGAATAGATTTCAATTAGGTTTTCTAAGTTTTATTTCTTAGACACTTGGCCCTTATCTAAAAAAAAAAATATTGCGATATCTTCATTTAATATATAGCTAATTATAAGTTTTAGGAAACAACGATTTTTATAAGCACTAACTATTCAGTGCTGTGTTTTCTTTGTTAATATATCAAGCAACGCGGACGAAGTCGCGGGTCATCATCATCATCATTACAGCCTTTCATAAGTCCACTGCTGAACATAGGCCTCCCCCAAGGAATGCCACAAAGCACGGTGCTGAGCCACCTGCATCCATCGACTTCCTGCATGTCTTACCAGGTCGTCACTCCATCTCGTGAGGGGTCGCCCTAGACTTCGCCTACCGGTACGAGGCTGCCTCTCAAGAACCTTTCCTACCCATCGGTTGTCGGTTCTTCGAGCTATATGGCCGGCCCACTGCCACTTTAGCTTACTAATCTGTCGGGCTATGTCGGTTACCCTGGTTCTACTGCGGATATACTCATTTCTAAGTTTATCACGCAGAGAAATCCCGAGCATAGCTCGCTGAGCGACCTTGAGCTTCCTCATACGGCCGTGAAGGACCACGTCTCAGATCCGTAAGTCATCACTGGCAACACGCACTGGTTGTACTATTTCGTTTTAAGGTTTTGAGGTATGTCTGTCGATTGACCTCTCGGTCGAAGTTGGACTTACCTAGTCGGACTAAGACTAAGACCAGGTAAACAGACTCGTCAACAACTTCGAGCTTAGTGCTCCCAACAACTACCGGCATAGGTGTGCCATGGACATTAAACATGATCTTTATTTTGTCCATGTTCATCCTAAGACCTATTCGTTGGGAGACACTAATGAGGTCGTTGAGCATGGTGCTTAGGTCCTCTAGCGATTCTGCCATAAGGACTATATCGTCGGCAAATCGAAGATGAGTGATGTACTCGCCATTTATGTTCGACGAAATCAAAGGCTTTCTCATAGTCCACATACGCCAGACATAGTGGCAAATTGTACTCTTCGGACTTTTGTACAATTTGCCGAAGGGTATGTATGTGGTCTATGGTGCTAAAGTCCTTTCGGAAACCGGCTTGGAAATGAAATCGGTCAGTAGTTCTTCAAGAGAGCGTTGTCATCTTTCTTGAAGAATAAGACCACCGCACTTCTGCTCCACGCCTCCGGTGTAATGCCACCATGGAGGGCGGAATTAAAGAGCTTCTGAAGGACTTCAAGTACCGGTCTTCCACCCGCTTTCAGAAGCTCCGCTGTAATTCCATCCTCGCCTGGGGCCTTGCCGCTTTTAAGGTGCTGGTGAGCCATTCTAACCTCGCTCAGACTGACGTCCGGGATATCTTCGGAATAGTGTCGGATAAGACTCCCTCTTGGATCGTTACTCAGACTTGCGTGTGGCTCCAACGATGACGTGTAAAGCTGCCCATAGAACCTCTCAATCTCACTCAAAATCTCAGGTGCCCCGGAAACGATGCTGCCACATTCGGTGTTCAGCTTCGACAGTTGGCTCTTTCTGGCAAACTTTGGAGCCTTGGTTCCGCTCGATCGCTTCTTCAATACAAGCTGTATTGAAGTTGCATAAGTCCCGCCGCATGCATTTGGAGATCCGTCTGTTCTGTTGCCTGTATGCTGTCAAATCTGTTGAAGAATGTAGCTTCATCTGCCGTCTAATAGCCATGGGATTGAGAGTGTGATCGGAGAGTTTTTGTGTACTTCTGCGGCAGGTCTTGCAGAACTTAGCTCCGACCGCATGGACAGTTTCCACGAGCTTGTCATTCATATTGTCCACTTCATTGCAGTCTTCTAGGCACTGAAAACGGTTTTGTAACTCGAGCTGAAAGGTTTCGGGACTTTGGAACAGAGCACGAGGGGGACGGAGCGTTGAGTTCATTAGACGAGACCTCTCCAACTTAACGTTTAGGTTCAGTGTGCCTCCTAACCATTCGGTGATCGCTACCAGTTTTCACCCTCGCGATCACGGAGACATCACTGAACAGTTGTCGTCTGGTCGTCATAATAAACTCAATCTCATTTTTTGTGGAACCGTCGGGGCTCAACCAGGTCCACTTCCTGTGGGGCCACTTCTGGAAGAAAGAGTTCATCATAAAGAGCCTCTTTCTCCATGATGTCGGCCAGCTGCTGGCCCCTTGGGTTCCGTTGCCCCATTCCAAATTTTCCTACTTTCAGCTCACCGTTCTCTCTTGCGCCTAGTTTTGCATTGAAGTCTCCCATTAACACCGTATATTGGGTTTTGGAGGAATGCATGGCTCTGGAGATACCCTCATACATTTCCTCCACCTCCTCATCGGGGTGTGCCGAGGTTGGTGCGTAAACTTGTATGACCTTCAGCGAATACCGTTTGGTGATTCTGAGTATAAGGTACGCAACCCTCGTCGACACACTCCCAATCTTTACAACGATGTTAACAAGAGACTTGTGGACGATAAATCCGACTCCTCCTTGGGACAGATGGTCGCCCTCCCTTACCGTGTCTTCCCCCTCTCTTCGGAACTCGGATAATCCTATAATATACCAGCGTAATTTGTCTATCTCTTCTTCCAGCTCCACCATCTTCTCGTCAGTCCTCAGGGTGCGTGCGTTGTATGTTGCCAGGTCGAGTCGTCTTAGGTGGCAACCGAACCTCCACCGGAGATTCTTAGCACTCCCTGCCCCGCCGTTACCATGGTCGCCACCGTAGCCAGGAATAGCGGGGCCGCCGGGGACTGGGGGCCGTTTCTTTGTTACTCTCATCATAGGGGGGTATTTACCATAGTTGCTACGCTTAGCGAGCGGGTTGGCAACCGCAGTTTTTTTATTGTAATCAGGAAGATGCTGCTGCCCATCTCCTGCCTGTTTCCCTTTGTCGCATTTTACGACACCCACGGGAAGATATGGGGTAGTGGATATTCTTAACCGCCACTACACGGCCTAAGTCGCGGGTATTAGCTTGTAATAAATAAAACTATTATTATGGTCTTAAATACGGTAAAGTTTTTTTTAATTTATTTATATTTAACCTTTCAGCGCAAATTATCATATTATCTATAATTTATTCTGCGACTTCTTATTGAACATTCATTATTCATTACAGACTATCAAATGTACACAACTGAACACAGGCCTCCCCATAGATGATCTTATAGGATAACTAGCTGTTCCTCGCGACTGCGCCCGCGTGTTATTTGCGATTTTAATTTTTTTGCGCGGAATCCTAATTCTTTTTCTAAAATAAAAGTAGCCTAAGTTACTCCTTGTGACATTAGCTATGTGCCAGTGAAAATCCCGTCAAAATCGGTCTAGCCGTTTCGGAGATTAGCCGGAACAAGCAGATAGACAGACAAAAACTTTAAAAATTTTATTTTTGTTATTAGTACCGTTTATACTTTCATATGCATTTACGAGGGGTGATATGAAAATAAAACACGGTAATTAAAGTTAAAATAATAATTTATTTTTCTACATAGTCTCCTAACAAATCAATACATTTAGGCCATCTTTTTTTTAAACCCAGGATTCCCTTTAAAAAAAATTCTTTGTCTTGACCCTCCCAAAACGCTTCAATAGCGGCCATTACTTCGCTATCGTCTTCGAATTTCTTGCCTCGGAGGCGTTCCTTGAGCCGAGGAAAGAGGTAGAAATCACTAGGAGCTAGATCTGGCGAATAGGGAGGGTGTTCGAGCAGTTAGAATCCCGTTTCTTGAATGGCAGCCATCGCAACTGCGGCTTTGTGAGCCGGTGCGTTGTCTTGGTGAAACAGCAGTCCAGCTCGCAGTTTGCCGTGTCTTTTTTCCTTAATAGCCTCCCGTAATCTTCTTATTTGGTCTGCGTAGTAAGAGCGCGTAATAGAGGCTCCCTTTTCCAAATATTCCACCATAATTATGCCTTGAGCGTCCCAAAAAACAGATGCTATAACCTTTCCCGCCGAACTTGAAACTTTGAATTTCTTTGGCGTCGGTGAGGAGGCTCGCTTCCAAGTCATCGATTGTTGTTTCGTTTCAGGATCAAAATGGTGGATCCAGGTCTCGTCCATAGTCACAAAACGGAATAAAAAATTTTCTTAATCTGCTTGGAACTTTTCGAGATTGACCCTCGAAATGTCAACTCGATTTTTCTTTTGCTCGTCGGTTAACATTCTGGGTACCCAACGCGCAGAGACATTTTTCATATGCAACTCGTTCGGAAGGATTCTTTGAACGCTGCCATATGAGATCCCTGTGACCTCAGCTACATGCCTGATGGTCACTCTTCGATCTGCCAACACAACATCTTCGACTTTTTTCACGTTGTCTTCAGTGAGGAACGTGGATGGGCGTCCTTCGCGATGTTCATCTTCAGTGGATGTTCTGCCCAGTTTAAACTCCTTGGCCCAGCGTGCAACTGTAGAATATGGAGGAGCAGAGTACCCCAATGTTTCCACTAAGTCACTGTATATGTCTTTTGAAGACATTTTTTTCAAACAGAGGTACTTGATGAAAGCTCTAATTTCATTTTTCTCCATGTTGATGTTATCTCTTTGACAGTTCGTATTCAAATGAATGTATCTCCCGGAAATCGTGATCAATTTATATGATTTTTTAGGCTGACGTAGTGAGTATATAAGCAAGCAAAAAATATTTTTTTTGTATTTTTATGCGGACCTGAAGTAACCGATTATCATTACTTTTGGATTACCCCTCGTAGTTAAAAGCTGTAATTTTGACATTACAAACAGACATTTCAATTTTATTTATTTGTATAGATATATGCCATAGTTGTCACACTCGGCAGGAGATTTTGCAACCGCAATTTTTGTTTTTGAGTTGTTATCTGGAGGATGCTGCTGCCTACTGCCTGTTTTATATCTCCCTGTCGTCCCTCTTACGACACCCACTGATGATGATATGGAGTAGTGGATTCACTTACGCCACCACTACATATTACACCTGCTTATTAAAGAAGCATTACGTAACACATTTGAAACTAATTAGTAAAAATTAAACAAGTTACATTATAACAATTTATTTTGCAAAACTGACAAATCTCACAAGCAGCACACATACTAGACTGCGCAATGAAACTTTGTTCATACCATCACATCCAATTTCACTACTTAAATAAATTATAATATCACTTAAAGTCCATTGTAAAGTTTGTTATTTGGTGACTGTTTAAGTATTTTTCTTAATGCTGGAACAAAAAAAAAACATCATTAGATCTAATTTATATATATAGAGCAATGCTGCAGCTATATTATGGTTGCAGCACAAATGATTCAGCTTGATCAGGAAGGGGCCATGCTGTCACAGAATATCAGCTAGAAGTAGCAGCTTAATAAGGGCGTGTTTCATATGGTGATCCTTTTTACTGGTAGGCATTCTAACTAAATCTTCAGGAGGTGATAACAAATCTACATTCTGATTCTTAATGGAGGTTAGAAGTAGATATCTATGGCTTACCATCAGATAGACTGTGTGCTCGTCTGTCACCATTATTCTAAAAAAAGCGCGTTCTATGCGATAGTGTTTAGTATATTTAATCTTTATATATAAAAATTACGTGTCACGTTGTTTGTCCGCGATGGACTCCTAAACTACTGAACTGATTTCGTGGAACTGTTGCACACTGTGTGCATTTTGGTCCAACTTGAGAGATAGGATAGTTTTTATCCCGATAAATGACCCTCAAATTTTTTTATTGCGAAATGAAGGATTTTTATAGGAAGTGTCGTTGGAAAGGGTAGAACAACGTCTGCCTGGCGAGCTAGTTGTATGATAAAATAGTATAATAATATATGACGTATTGTATTATATCTATCTATTTGATAAATTAAATGGCGAAACGCAGTTCCTTTTATAATTGTTGCGTGGATGGATGCTTAGTGAGCAAACAAAGGGATTAAGATATATAATTTTTCAAATTATCGACGGATAATGAAAGGTGAATATATTTCTTTTTTTTTTTTGTTAGAAAGGTACTTATAGCGAAAAAAGGATTAAGTAATAATTTAGTAGAGAAGTAATACCTACTTTATTACAAGTTAGTTGAAATTTACTTCACTATCTTTACTATACTGGGTTATTTTGCAATTACCGGCCAAATTTTAATATAAACAGTGGTAGAGCCACGCGGTAGCTTTTGCTGTCGCACGGATGGGCCGGCTCGAACCGGGGTGGTACCACGACCTCACAGAATACCAGCGTGAAGTAGAGGTTTACCTCTGCGTTTCGCTTGGTGAGTGCAGGTGGCCGGAGGCCCTTTTTACTGGAAATGAGGCATTCCATCTTAGTCCTCACGGGTGACAACGCATCTACATTTTGATTCGCAAGCGAGGATAGATGTAGATGTCTATGGGCCGCAGCAACCACTTACAATCAGGTGGACTGTGTGCTAGTTTGTCACCCGTATTCTATAAAAAAAAAAAAAAAAAAAAAAAATTGCAGAGAAGGTTCAGTATAAGTAATATAGGCAATGGTGAAGAAAAATGAATTTAATAAAAATCTCAAACATTCTATCATTATTATCTCTTAAATTCAAAATACGTGGTAATGCATTATTTTAACCAACTTTCATTCATAAATATCTAACGTTTACTATTTTATGCACGCACACATTCGTAAAGCCGCCTGCACATGCTTGGTGTTTGGCACAAACACCGACCACAATCACCCAAAACAAAGACGGCGTCCTCACGCTCGGCGAAAGTGCTAGTATATTCGGAATGGGCAAACATGGCGGACGACGAGCTTGTGGAAGTGATTACTTTCGGGTTGACCTTTTTTTATTTAAAAAATTATATTAATTCCTTTTTTTTTCATCAATCTATCTTTCTATTTACCTACTCCCTCAACGGGTTCATTGAATATAATAAAGAATAGAGAGAGGTCATTAATTTATGCTATGAGCAAAGAGAATATAATCACTACGTTTAAGAGGCGGGACTTCCTTAGTAAAAGTAAGTAAATGTATGAATATTTCGCAACTCTACAGACTACTTTTACTATCAAAAAATAAAAAATAAATTGCTCTAAAGGTTACTATTGAAGATTTTACATAGGTACCATAGAATCTCAAATGAATTCTCAATGATCACTTCTATAAATTGTCTTCAGGTTCAAATAAGTTTATTTATACGAATAAAGGAATTCAATACTTATAATTAAAAACTGGCCAAGTGCGTGTCGAACCACAAACAATGTAGCGGTAGGGTTCCGTAGTTGCCCGTCACAATACGTGGGCTTCCTTGATAATAAGCATAATAAGTGAGTTCACGGTTTGACCGCTATAACGACTAAAAATGGGCCCGTAGAAGATCGTAACTGAAGGACTTATCGGAGAACAATTTTTGCAGCTAACCAAAGGCTGTTAGGTTTTGGGCAGTTCACCACTCTGTCACATGGAAGTGCTCGAGGTGGTCATTCAGTAATAAGCTCGGCTGTCGAAAACACTGTGATCGAGTCAAAGACTACAATATTATAGGGAAGATCGAGTTCAGAGTTAGCCAGTACGTGTGGATACTACTGAATTCTTCTGAATATCGCCCATTTCATTACCAACGTGTACAAGCACTGAATTATAACGATGGTCCACCTCGAAAACATTTTTGTGAATGGTTAGTGTCATTTTAAGTGATTGCATATTTAAGTAGTAAAATTATGATAATAAACATATTACGACGCACGGCGTGCGCGCCGATGCGATATTCGAGTCGGCTGAGGTCGACAATACTCGGCACTATTCGCACTGCCTATTATTCGCACGCCGTAAAATGTAAAAAAACATATTTTATTTATTATGACGTACCTAAGCCCGTTCAAAGTATGAAAGTATGAAGGGAAAAATGGAATCATAGTAGCGATCGTGTCATTAAGGAAGTAAATAGTAAGCAAAAGCTCCGTGCACTCGGTACACACAAGAGCGCGCGATGTTGTTACCCATAAATCATATTCTATTTCGGATATTTTGAAATAAACCTTACGCATATTTTTAAAAACTGCAAAAAGTGTATAATCAGTATTTATATTTTGCATTTAATTATTAAGTTTGGCTGGTCTTTGAAAAATAACCCTGTACAAGTACCTACTTACATACCTATACTTGTCATTTGTAATTAAAATATTTTGAGTTATAATAACACAAAATACTGAAATTAAAACTGTTTACAAGATTTTTAACTAAGTAGAACACGATCACATTTCTGTTAGGAATCGTATTTAGGGTTTATTTGTTGTTTGCACTATCTATCTATTTCTTCCGAGCCAAACATCGCGATTCCCGACGAATGGCCTTGCAAGTTGCATGCGTTGATTATCGCAGAACTCACATAGTAGGGAAAATATGGTCGATCATAGTCAGAATAGGAACTTTACCTAAGTAACTTAGTTACCATTTCACAATGTATTTTTTTTACTCTTTATTAACAGCACTTACTAACCACGGAAAGTCCGTCGTGACGTAGGAAGAGGAAAAGATGCTAAGTAATACGAACACTCGAGCGCAGCGATAAAGTTTTATTTAGCTTGCGTGCGCTATTTGTCTGATTAATAATAATTATCTAGGCTATTGAAACATCTGCAAGAAGTCAACATCAAAGGAGTGCAACTTCTGTACGTAGTACTATTATTTATTCTGTGGCATGACATGTATTGTATTATCGATGGTGGTGTGTTTCCTAGTGCAGTGAGTTTGGGTGTAGTAGTGGCAGTGAAAGTGCACACAATTATGGGAGGGAAGGAGGTGCTCTTTGAACTAGGTATGACATTGATTGACATATGAATGTAACTAATTAATTTCTACATAAAAGAAGATCAATAATTAAATATTATTGTAACATTATACCAGAAAGTACCGAAATATTATATAAAGAACCTTTTTCTTATAAGTTATTCAACATATTGACGGCTCCGTGTTCGCAGTGGCTTAACAATGAGTTGCTGCGCTAGGGGCCGCGGGTTCGAATCCCGCACGGAACAAGTATTTGAATGGCCTACAAATAATTTTTCCGGATCTGGATGTTTGTCCTTGTGCAATTTGTGTTTGTAAACTGCCTCCACGATACAGCAGAAAATCCTAGTGTGGGGGTAACGTTTTTTAAAATTAAGAAATAAAAATAAAAGAAATATCACTTACCTTCTTTATCTTCATCTGAGAAGTCCTGTTTGGGGAATTCAATATCAAATGTCACATACAGATTTCCATGAAGGTTGTTATTTTCAAAGTTGGGCATCCCTTCACCCTTCTTACGCACGCGCGCTCCCGCCCACGTAACTTTGTCTCGGGAAACGGTAACTTTATGACCATCTAGGTGTACAAGTTCTAATGTGAAACCAGTTAAAGCGTCCTGAAAATTAAATACAGTTCAATTGTACTGTAGAATAAAGTTACTTACAAAAGTAGCCAATTCTGAATTTTTTTGTAATATTCAAAATGTATGATATTTATTTAATAATTATTAAAATGTTTTTAAGTGTTATTTGTATTTACATGAGAAGATAAAATAAAGTAGTTAATACACAACAACATTTAGATAATGTGTAATTTGTTATGGATTAGAAAGCAAAATACATATGTATCCAAATCAGTGAGCTGTATTTCCATATGTAAATAAAATAAAAAATAATTTTTTTTTTTTTTATAAATATCCTGGATACTTTAAGTGAAAAATCCTTATATTTATATATACTAGCTTTCTCCCCTCAGTATTACCCATGTCCAAATTGTAACGTCCAGACAGTCATGATCTACGCTCATACAGATTACATAATATGGAAAACTCAAGCTATTATATGGAAACTTTCTCATATTTCGGAATGATAATCATGATAAAACATCGCAGATTTTAAGTAAGACCCTTCCAATAGTGAAAACCGCTCTTAAATTGTGTCTTTCATACTTCCCTACCCTTATTCTCCTTCTTCAACAAATAATTTTCTATTACAGCTGTACTACTGTTACAGAGTGTGTAGAACTCTTTTCCTATACGTATTTGCTGTGCTCAATCCTTTTTTTTTCTTTTGAAAATCTACTCAAAGCTTTATTACTTGGAACTCTTAATATTTCCCTATCACAATTCCCGCCCTTTCTTGTATCTATCCTACTTACCACAAATGTATTATATATATGTTATGCTCACCTTCTTTGTGTAATGAGATTGTCTGAAAGAAATTGCTTCCAGAACGATAATACTGCCCGTTGTATCTACTTTATTTATTGAATTTTGGTTTTGTTTCAATATGATTTGGTGTAAAATAAAGAATATATTGATTAATTGGTTAATTTAAGTACTGCATCAAAATAGCTTACATCTCCTATTTTATCTTACATCCCCTATTTTTACCCTTAGGGTTGGGGTATCCAAAAAATCCTTAAACATGTCACTTAGTTTCTAATTGAAAGCTCAAATATATGTATATAGTAGAATTCTCAAAAATACTCAAACGGGTGTCTTCATACAAAGAACACCTCTGCTTCCACCTCGTAAGGGGTCATTTTTTAAATTTATTTTATTTACAGAGTAATTTCAGTAAGTTTTGAGTCAGTTGCCTTGTAAAATAAAAACATTCTTACAAACTTTATATCCCTGAGAAAATTATATATTATTTTCTAACACAGAGCAAAGCTTGCTTCTCCATTTACTTTGACTTCACAATTGATAATGTGCCATAAATATTTTTTTTTATAAAAATCCAGACTTCTACACAAAGTATCTTTAGCTGGTAGGTGGCTGTTGTTACTTGTTTATAAAATTTTATATAATAATATTCAGAAAAGACAGTGAAAAACATTATTACAAACCTGCAAGGAAATAGTGACATTGGTATAAAGATCATCTCCTCGTCTACTAAACTGATGATGTCTTTCCGTTTTAAAAACAATAACCAAGTCCCCTGGCTCTCCGTCCATGTGAGGCTCACCTTCTCCTCTTAATCTAGTTTTATGATTATCAGGTGCACCAACTTCAACCTACAAATAAAAGTTGGATAATGCTTTAAAATCGCAACTATTTTTCTTAAATATAAATAGGTTACAGTCCATCCTTATCTAAGCTGTACATTTATTGTAATTAACATGGTGTAAAATTATACCAACAATCCTTATCTCTTCAAATGTTATCAATTTAAATACATGAATAGAAAAATACCTCAATCTCTAAAAGTCTCTCCTCATTGACTAGCTTTACATTTGGGCATTCATCGCACACTGTTTGCTGCATCATTTGAAATCTTCCTGGACCCAAGTTTCTGGTCACCATTTCTTGTCGACAGTTACATTTACGAGTTCCTGATGCTGGTTTGATCACTGGCTTATTACGTGTAATCTGTAATAATAACAAATTTTTATAATAGTGAAAAAAATATTTAGCAGATATTTTTACAAACAATATAGACATGTATCAATCATGAACAATTCAGTTGTATAAACTGAGTTCCATAAAACTCATAATTGTGATTTTTGTACAATCTGGAACAAACAATTTATTAAACTTTTAACCTGTGACCTGTGATTGGTTATTTTGCACAAATGGGGGGTGTAGAAGATATCATTAGGTATAATACAAAATAGTATTATACAAACACAGCCCTTTTCTACCTGTTACTTAAACAATGTCATAAGGCAGAAACGTTTGTATGTGAGTTTGAGTTAATCATGGAAACTACTTGCAACTATACAAAACTATTATCTTTTGCTACACCTGTATATGAGATATAAAAGCTTTACATTAGTTAAGTACCTATAAAACATTATTCAAAATATTAATCTTCACACGGTTTAAAAGTTAAGAGCATTATTGCAATAAACATATCAAGGGTAAAATGAGTATTTGTTGGTGTTTGATCAAAACCATTCTCTCCACACTCACAACTAATGTCCAACAAAACCTAGCAGGAATCACAGTTCTCAGATTGCAGAGTACTGGATAAAAATGTGCTCTGTGGTGCCAAATCCCCAAATGATCTATTTGAATGATCAATTCCAAATTACTGATCAACAAATAAATTATCGGGTCACTAGAAATGACCCATTGATACATGTCAAAAATGATATCCAGTATAAACTTCATCTAAATAACAGCTTATAGTGGGCTTTTTAACAACACAAAATAATATAGCTAAATATATGACTTAACTGTACATCCAAATAAAACGGTCCTAGTAATGTTCACACAAAAACGAATGCTGAATAACTATAATCTGCCAAGACTTTTCAGCACAAAACTCCAGCTATACTCTGAGGTAAAATATTTAGGTCTCACCTTGGACAGTAAACTCAACTGGATTAACACATAGAAAACAAAATCAACAAAGCTAGTATAACTTTCTGGCAATGCAAAAACATAATTGGCTAAAGATGGGGTCTGATGCCAAAAATCATACTGTGGTTATACAAAACTGTAATTCGGCCCATGAACACATACGGGCGCTTTGGTATGGTGGACCAAAACAAATGAAGCCACCACCATAAAGAAGCCTCAACGTTACCAGAGACTGGCATGTATAGCTGCCACAGGCTGATTAAGAACTATGCCAACAGCAGCTTTAGAGGCGATGCTGGGGCTAAGTCCGCTTCATCTACAAATACAACAAGAAGCGACTTTGGCTGCCATTAGACTCAAGACCCTGAATCTTTGGAGCAAGAATAGTCCCTCATACAGGCATAATTGATAGAATTCACTCAAAAATTCCTATCTTACAAGCAAAATACGATAAGATCCATAAACAATTTGTATTTGATAAGAAGTATAAGATACAATTAAATGAAACCAGCCAGCCAGAGGTATTAAGTCCAAAAGAGCTTAGAGTCTTCACCGATGGTTTTAAAACAAATGAAGGCGTAGGATCTGGAACTTTTTCTGAAGACCTCAACATCCACATATGCACACCGCTGGGTACCTACAACACAGTCTTTCAGGTGGAATGTATGGGTATCATTCAAGCAGCTATAGCAACAGATGCTAGGAAGGTTAATGACTTCCCCATCAGAATATTGACCGACAGTAGGGCAGTTATAAGCCCTGAGCTGCAATGTGGTGAGCTCAGGACTAATATATGAATGCCACCAACGATTAAATGATAAAGGGACACAATGGATCTAGGCAACGATGCAGCAGATGAACTGTCCAGAAGAGGATCGGCTCGAGCCACTATAGGGCCAGAACCAATTATACCAATCCCCTTTGTTAATGTTCGTTCACTGGTATGTAGACACTACACTAATTAACACGCTCAACTTTGGAAAAATCTAGTAGACTGTAAACAAGCTAGGGAGGCCTTGACTGAAATAAAGTTGTTTAACCAAGGTTCTAATGAGAGGGAACAAACCGCAGATCAGGATAGTAACAAGTGCTATCACATGACACAGTAACTTTAACAAACATTTATTTACCATAGGTGTTACAAACAGTCCCCTGTGCAGGGCATGTATGGGGGAGGAAAAAAGGCAACCCATGTGTTGCTGATGTGTCCGGAAATCGCTGTATACAGGGCTAAACATCTCGGCACGCTGGGATCACTCCCCGAAGTTGCTTGCAACATCAAAGGACTGTTGAACTTCTTCGGGGAGATTTCATGGCTTGAATAAATACATTATTCCTGCCCACACGCAAAATACGCACTTAGACGTGGAGACGGAAAACAGCCCATTTATTCAATTCAATTCAATTCAGACACAAAATAATATGACATTTAAAGTATTTTTCGAATATTTTAAACAATTGGATAACTGTACTTAATCAAATTCAGAATTTAAAATAGGACTTCCAAAAATTAATGGAAAGAAATGCTACCACCAGTAATCATATGGTAAATAAAATGGCGATTGCAATAGGTCAAGTAAAAAAAATTGTTATTAATAATTAAAGGTAGGCAGATATTACTAACAAGGTGAAAAATAGTGTATTGAGTATGAATTGAATTCTCATAACATATAAAAATTTACCCATATGTCTGAAACTCAAATGTGGATTACTGGACGCTATTACTTTTCACCAGAAATAGTTATCAATTCCATTAACTTCTTTGTAAATATGAATTGAATGACTTACTTCTATAAAATTTCCGTTGTAAAGTTCTTCAAGAGACACCATTAGCTCCATAACAATATCAGCTCCGCGAGGTGTCTCATGGTGCTGGGGCTCTCCTCCGAAATGAAATCCAAAATCTCCAAAAAAACTTGCGAATGGGTCATTATTGTTCATCATGCCGTCTTTCTTAAGACATTCTTCCCCACACCTATCATATAATTCCCGTTTTTCAGGGTCGGAAAGGGCCTCATATGCTGCGCCAAGGTCTTGAAACTTTTGCGAAGCGTCTGGATCATCCTGATTTTTGTCTGGATGTAAAGCTTTTGCTAGCTTTCTGTAAGCTTTCTTTATTTCATTGGTGCTTGCCGATCGCGACACACCAAGTATTTGATAAAAATCACGGCCGGCTAAAGTTAGTAAGAGTGATGATATAAAATAAATTAAACACACGTAAGCGTTATTAACTAACATGTTGAAACGTTTTCACATAGGAACTGTTAATAAGAAAAACTTTACTTTTACCTAGACCAATGGATATCAAATCGTTTACACATTTTAGTTTTTGACGTTAACATATTTGATTTGACAAACGTGCAAAGAATATTCGTCTTGCTATGATTGGCTGTTTTCAGGCATATTCAAAAGAACAACGAATTAACTCAAATAGAGTTGCTGTTTTGAAACATCCTACCCACGTAATAAGTGCTGTTCCTAATTATGATTCCACTGTCCAATCATATGTGACCTCGTACGTTAGTAATGCTGCCAGATATGAGAACCCAAATTCCTTAGAACTCTCGGTAGTCAGTAAAAGGTGTTCTGTGTCTTAGAAGTATAGTAATAAAAGCCTAAGTGCATGGAATTTTCTACATGTAACAAATTATATTATACGTATTTTATTTTATTTATTATACATAATAAACGCCAATGCGCGATTGAGCGCTGTATCTAGTGCTTTTTGGTCAGTCTAAAAGTTTATGTACCTAGGGGCAATTTAGCGCTTTTTGAATTTTGACATGGCAATGCAGCTTAACTATTTCTTTGCTGTTTTCACTTATCTTCTCAATAACTAAAGAATAAGGCCGGCCCATACATTCGGAATTACTTTTCGAATGATTCGAGATTCCGAAAGCAGGAAATCCATATAAAATCAAGGACCTATCACACATGTACAGTAGCTTTCAATTCAAAATTTTGCGGGGAAAAACTGAATTTTGAATGTATGTGGCTGACCCGTTCGGAATTCAGAAACGAAATCCCGAAACGGAATTCCGAATGCATGTAGCCGGCTTAAGAGAGGACCTGAACCTAGTCCGACATGAATTTTTTTATTTTTGAGTTCTTTTTATTTTTAATTAATTGTTCGTGCTTTGTTCGTTATTGTTCGAACATAAAAATGGTTTGTTCGTCTTTTAATTATTTATAATTAATTACACAAATTTCGTCCTTAGGTCCCCCTCCCCCTTATTGTAAATTTTAACTTTTACTATTTGTTCGATCGCTCTTGATGATTGCTCGATAATAAGTACAACTTCATTATCACCATTACAGCCATCCACACGTCCACTGCTGAACATAGGCCCCAAGGAATTCCACAAGGCACGATCCCGAGGCACCTGCATCCATTGACTTCCTGCATGTCTTACCAGATCTGGTGGACGTTGGTACAAAGCTGCCACTCGAGGACTTTTTTGCCCCATCGATAGTCGGCCCTTCGAGCTATATGGCCAGCCCATTGTCACTTCAGCATACTAATTCGTTGGGCTATATCGGTTACTCTGATTCTACTACGGATATCCTCACTTCTAAGTTTATCACGCAGAGTAACGACCTTGAGCTTTCTCATACGGCCAGCAATGAAGGACCAAGTCTCAGTTCCATAGGTCATCACTGGCAACACGCACTGGTTGTACAGTCTTCAATCAAATTTAAAAACTAAAATTACAAGATTATAAAGGTCTTTCGTTCAAATACTAATCTATTAATTTTAGACAGCTACCAAGGTATACGCATTTATTTTAAAAAGAGTGTATGCATTTGAGTTATAGCGCCATCTACTACATTTTCTACGTACCACTAAAATAGTTAATCAATTTTAGCTCGATATCATCATTATTACAGCCTTTCACAAGTCTACTGCTGAACATAGGCGTCCCTCAAGGAATGCCACAAAGCGCTGTCCCAAGCCAACTGCATCCATTGACTTCTTGCATGTCTTATCGGGTCGTCACTCCATCTAGTGGGGGAACGCCTTACACTTCGCCTGCCGGTACGAGGCTGCCACTCGAGAACATTTTTTCCCCATCGGTTGTTGCTTATTCTGATTCTACTGCGGATATCCTTATTTTTAAGCTTATCACGCAGAGAAACCCCGAGCATAGCCTTCTCCATAGCTCGCTAAGCGACCTTGAGCTTCCTCATACGGCCAGCAGTGAGGGACCACGTCTCAGATCCATAGGTCATCACTGGCAACATGCACTGGTTGCACAATCTAGTTTTGAGGTTTTGAGGTATGCCTGACGAGAAGATGTGTCGTAATCTCCCGAACGCTGTCCAGCCGAGTTGAATCCGTCGATTGACCTCTCGATCGAAGTCGGACTTACCCAGTCGGACTATTTGTCCCAGGTAATCACATTCGTCAACAACTTAGAGCTTAGTGCTCCCAACAACTACCGGCATAGGTGTTATGTTTAACATGATTTTTGTTTTGTCCATGTTCATCTTAAGACCTATCCGTTGGGAGACACTATTGAGGTCTTTGAGCATAGTGTTAAGGTCCTCCATCGATTCTGCCATAAGGACTATATGGTCAAAAATCGAAGGTGAGTGATGTACTTGCCATTGATATTAATACCGTATCCTTTTCAGTCCAGTAGCTTTTAAACGTGTTCCAATGCAGCGGTGAAGAGTTTCGGGGATATTACGTCACCCTGTCTTACACCTCTTTACAGTTGGATAGGTTTAGTTCTCTGGTTCTGTATTAGGATAGCCATCGTAGCAGTACTGTACAAACACTCTTCAGCAGTTCGATATACCGACAGTCCACTTGGAACCGCTGAAGGGACTGCAGCACCGCCCAAATTTCGACGAAATCAAAGGCTTTCTCATAGTCCACATACGCAAGACAAAGTGGCAGATTGTAGTCTTCGGCTTTCTGTACAATTTGCCGAAGGGTATGTATGTGGACGGTGCTAAAGCCTTTTCGGAAACCGGCTTGTTGGGGAGGCTGCAAGTCTTCGAGTCTGCGCGCGAGACGATTCGTAATGACTCTCGAAAACAGCACGTAGCCGCGGTTCAGAAGGGAAATCGGACTGTAGTTCTTCAAGAGAGCGTTGTCGCCTTTCTTGAAGAACAAGAACACCGCACTTCTGCTCCACACCTCCGGAGTAGTGCCACCAGGGAGGACGGGATTAAAAATCTTCTGAAGGACTTCAAATACCGGTTTACCACCCGCTTTCAGAAGCTCCACTGTAATACCATCCTCGTCCGGGGACTGACAACCGGCTGATTTTAAGGTGCTGGCGAGCCATTCTAATCTCGCTCAGATTAACGTCCGGGATATCATCGGAATAGTGTCGGATATGACTTGCTCTTGCATCGTTGCTCACACTTGCGTGTGGCTCCAACGATAACGTGTACAGCTCATAGATCCTGCCTCTCAATCTCAATCAAAATCGCAGGTGTCCCGGAAACGATGCTGCCACATTCGGTCTTCAGCTTCGACAGTTCGCTCTTTCTGGCAGACAGATCTCTGGCAAAGACTTTGGAGCCCTGGTTCCACTTGATTGAAAAAAGAGGAATCGAAATTAGATAGACTATATGATAATGTAGACAAAACCGTTGATTCTTTTGTATTAAATGTGTTAGGCTAGACGTCGTCGGCAAGCAGTAACTCCGATACAGAGAAATCTGATTCTGATTTTTGAATTTTCATTTTTTTATTTCTGCCAAATTAGTTATTGTAACTCGATTTATATAACTATTTTTATACTAAAAGTAAAATAAATAATTTAACTACATATTTTTTTCTCCTCCAAATATTTCATATAAACCGCACTTAATACAAAAATGTTTGTAACCATTGTCAGTAGGCAAAGAGGTAATTGTACGAAATTCTTCCTGCTCCACGCCAGAGCTTTTGTTGAATACACCGTGTTATGCATCATAATCATTATCAAAGCCCTTCACAAGACTACTGCTCAATATAGGCCACCCAAGGAATGCCACAAAGTACGGTCCCGAGCCACCTGCATCCATTGAATTCCTGCATGTCTTACCAGGTCGTCACTCCATCTAGCGGGGGGACACCCCACACTTCCGCTGCCGGTATGAGACTGCCACTCGAGAACCTTTCTTTCCCATCGGTTGTAGGTTCTTCGAGCTATATGGCCGGCCCATTGCCACTTCAGCATACCAATTCTTTGGGCTATGTCGGTTACTCTGGTTCTATGAATAGTTTCGGGGATATAACGTCACCCTGTCTTACACCTCTCTATAGTTGGATAGGTTTCGTACTCTGGTTGCCATTGTAGCCCTACTGTACAAACACGTCAGCACTTCTATATACCGACAGTCGACTTGGCACCGCTGGAGGAACTGCAGCACCGCCCAAATTTCGACGGAATCAAGGGCTTTCTGATAGTCCACATACGCACATCCCGTGTAGTGGCGGATAAGAATACCCACTACCCCATATCTTCCCGTGGGTGTCGTTAAAGGCGACAGAGGGAAACTGAGGCAGACGATGGGCAGCAGCATCTTTCTGATAACAGCAAAAAGCAATAAAAAACTGTGGTTGCCAACCCACTCGCGAAGCGTAGCAACTATGGCAGTTTACCTCCCCCCCCCCCCCATGAGCAATGACACTAATAAATGGCCCCCAGTCCCCGGCGACCCTGCTATTTCTGCCTACGGTGGCGACCATGGTAACGACGGGGCAGGGGGTGCTAAGAATCTCCGGTGGAGATTCCGTTGCCACCTACGACGACTCGACCAGCCAACTTACAAAGCATGTACCTTAAGGACTGACGAGAAGATCCTGGGGCTGGAAAAAGAGATAGACAAGTTGCGCTGGAATATTATAGGATTATCCGAAGTCCGAAGAGAGGGGGAAGACACGGTAATCCTCGAATCGGGCAACTTATTCTATCACCGGGAAGGCGACCATCCGTCCCAAGGAGGTGTCGGATTTATCGTCCGGAAGTCACTCGTTAACAACCTTGTAAAGATTGAGAGTGTGTCGAAGAGGTTTGTGTACCTTATACTTAGAATCACCTAACGGTATTCGCTGAAGGTCATACAGGTTTACGCACCAACCTCGGCACATCGCGATGAGGAGGCGGAGGAAATGTATGAGGATATCTCTACAGCCATGCATTCTTTCAAAACCCACTATACGGTGTTAATGGGAGACTTTAACGCAAAACTAGGCACAAGAGAGAACGGTGAGCTGAAAGTAGGGAAATTCGGAA